CTCTTATCTCTTAAGAGCGTGAGGCAGTGTATTCTTGGTCTTCATTTCTCTTGTGGGACTGCTCATACTGGAATGTCTTTCAGTTAATTCCTGTTAGTATCCCATCCCGTATTTGTCAGCAGCCAGCTTTAGAAACAGACTCTTTTTATGTCATGAGCTGATGATGCGACTTTGGCGCGATGTAGTCGCTCTTAACGTTAGATATACTGAGTAAAATCTTTCAGGATGGGTGAGGCTGTTTTTTTTTATCTTCTCCTTTCCTTCATTTTCCACTTAGAACAAGCAGGCAGAGAAGTTAGCTTTTCTTTAATCGTCCTGTGAGGTTTCGTTTTTGAAACTTGTCTGAAACGCTGAAAGTTGGTAATAATGAAGAGAAATTTTTAGCGTGTTGAACGAGATTCCTTTACTGACGCCCGGTATTTTAGATTTCTTTTCCTGAGCTTTGTTTCTTGGTCTGCCCCTGTGTAACAACTGTAGAAAAAACCCTTTTTATTTACTGCTCTTTTGGTGTTTGGCTTTGAAATGGAACGTACATATGCACCACTGAGTGTGGAAGTGAAGTGTCATTCGTTTATAATGAATGCTCCTCCCCTTCCCCCTCCCCATTCCCCTTACATCTTTTGTGGGAATGCAGCTGCATAAATGCCAGGTTTTGATGAACAACTGAAATATTCATGGTCCGTGTCAATTCCACGGACTTATCTGTGTACTGCCGTATCATTGTTTACACGTGTTAGGGGAGGGGTTCCCCGTTCAAGTTGTGTTTTACAAAATCTTCCGGATTCACTGTAGTTTTTCTTTTGATTTACCATAGGTTCAGGATCACTTGAAATAAATTTTTTTTCTAAAAAGCTAGGTTTGTCTGAAATGTTAGGAGTTACCAAAGCTCCTGGCAGATCTTGCACCATACAATAAGATCTGCTAATTTTACATGATGGGTTTTTAGGAAAACAGAGTGGTTGTTTCTTTCTTCTTCATCTTTATTTTCCGAAGCGAAGTACTGAGACTTTGATGGCTGCTGTGAAATATCCCTTTGGTTAAGGGGTGTTTTGTGCTGTACTCCAAAGCGAACATACGTGTGTCTCTCTAAAGAAAGTTCAGCTCTGTCCCATCCCATAATTTGCTGGAAGGCGGCTGCAGAAATGACAGCTTTAGTCCGGCTGATCTGGCCACATCCTTTCGGTGATAACTGTCCCCTCCGCGCGGGCTGTCCGTGTGCCGGGCAGGGCGGGCAGCGCTCGGTGCCTGCAGTGCCGGGCGGAGGCTGCGGGCGCCGCTGTTGACCGAGAGGAGCGGGAGGAAGCTCGGAGCGCTGCAGCCCCGCCCGCTGCCGACCCGCTCGATCGCTCGCTCGCTCGGCATCAGGCTCGGTGGCGGGCGGTCTGCGAGAGTCTCCGCAGTGCAGAGCGGTTCTGCAGGGAGGCAGAAAAGCCGGCGACAGCACCCGGGAGGGGCGAGTCGGAGGGTGAGTGGAAGAAGTGACAGCGGAGAGGATCGACAGAGAGCAGCTGTGCGAGCGTGTGCAACAATGCGTGCTGCGCTGTGAGCTGATAGTGGAAGGGGAAATGAAGTTTTATGGAATAGAAGTGGAAATCACAGACATTAATGACAACGCGCCCAGCTTCAAGGAAATTGAACTGGAAGAGACAATAAGTGAGATGACAGCCCCGGGGTCGCAGTTTCCCCTGGCCGAGGCTCAGGACCCTGACTCGGGCCGGAATTCCCTGCAGAGCTACGAGCTGAGCGGCGACGAGCACTTCTCGCTGGCCGTGCAGACGGGCCCCGGCGGCGATCAGCGTCCCGAGCTGGTGCTGGCCAAGGCGCTGGACCGGGAGGAGGCGGCGTTTCACGAGCTGGTGCTGAGGGCGAGCGACGGCGGCGATCCGGCACGGACGGGCACGGCTCGGATCCGCGTGACGGTGCTGGACGCGAACGACAACGCGCCCGTGTTCAGCCAGGCGGAGTACACGGTGCGTGTGCCCGAGGACGTGCCCGTGGGCTCTGTCCTCGTCACTGTCAGGGCCACGGACGCTGACGAAGGGCTGAATGGTCATTTGAAATACTCGTTTAAGAAAATCACAGAGAAAGCCTTGAAAATATTCTACTTAGATAGTGAGACTGGAGAGATCAGGCTGTTGCGGAGCCTGGACTTCGAGGAAGGCGACTCGTACGAACTGGAGGTGCAGGCACGTGATGGGGGTGGCCTGTCCGATACTGCCGAAGTCTCGATCACTGTGAAAGACATAAACGATAACGCACCCGAGATTTCGGTGAGGTCTGCGCTCAGCGAGATTTCTGAGGATGCCCTGTCGGGGACAGTTGTAGCCCTTTTGCACGTACATGATCGAGACTCAGGGGTGAATGGCGAGGTGCGCTGCTCGATCGACAAAGACGTCCCGTTCCGGCTGCAAAGCTCGCAGGGCAATTACTACAGCGTGGTGACAGCGAGAGAGCTGGACCGGGAGCAGGTGGCGGAGTACAACGTGACGGTGCGGGCGGCCGACGGCGGGTCGCCGGCGCTGCAGAGCAGCGCGGTGCTGGCGCTGCGGGTGCTGGACGTGAACGACAACGCGCCGGTGTTCGCGGAGGAGCGCTACAGCGCGCGGCTGGCGGAGAACAACGCGGCGGGCGCGCTGGTGCTGACGGTGCGCGCCACGGACGCGGACTGGGGGCAGAACGCGCGCGTGCGCTCAATGCGTGCTGCGCTGTGAGCTGATAGTGCAAGGAGAAATGAAGATTTACCGAATAGAAGTAGAAATCACGGACATTAACGACAACGCGCCCAGCTTCAAGGAAGCTGAGTTGGAAGAAAGAATAAGCGAGGGGACAGCGCCGGGGTCTCGGTTTCCCTTACCCGAGGCGCACGACCTGGATTCTGGTCAGAATTCCCTGCAGAGCTACGAGCTGAGCGGCGACGAGCACTTCTCGCTGGCCGTGCAGGCGGGCCCCGGCGGCGATCAGCGTCCCGAGCTGGTGCTGGCCAAGGCGCTGGACCGGGAGGAGGCGGCGTTTCACGAGCTGGTGCTGAGGGCGAGCGACGGCGGCGATCCGGCACGGACGGGCACGGCTCGGATCCGCGTGACGGTGCTGGACGCGAACGACAACGCGCCCGTGTTCAGCCAGGCCGAGTACACGGTGCGTGTGCCCGAGGACGTGCCCGTGGGCTCTGTCCTCGTCACTGTCAGGGCCACGGACGCTGACGAAGGGCTGAATGGTCATTTGAAATACTCGTTTAAGAAAATCACAGAGAAAGCCTTGAAAATATTCTACTTAGATAGTGAGACTGGAGAGATCAGGCTGTTGCGGAGCCTGGACTTCGAGGAAGGCGACTCGTACGAACTGGAGGTGCAGGCACGTGATGGGGGTGGCCTGTCCGATACTGCCGAAGTCTCGATCACTGTGAAAGACATAAACGATAACGCACCCGAGATTTCGGTGAGGTCTGCGCTCAGCGAGATTTCTGAGGATGCCCTGTCGGGGACAGTTGTAGCCCTTTTGCACGTACATGATCGAGACTCAGGGGTGAATGGCGAGGTGCGCTGCTCGATCGACAAAGACGTCCCGTTCCGGCTGCAAAGCTCGCAGGGCAATTACTACAGCGTGGTGACAGCGAGAGAGCTGGACCGGGAGCAGGTGGCGGAGTACAACGTGACGGTGCGGGCGGCCGACGGCGGGTCGCCGGCGCTGCAGAGCAGCGCGGTGCTGGCGCTGCGGGTGCTGGACGTGAACGACAACGCGCCGGTGTTCGCGGAGGAGCGCTACAGCGCGCGGCTGGCGGAGAACAACGCGGCGGGCGCGCTGGTGCTGACGGTGCGCGCCACGGACGCGGACTGGGGGCAGAACGCGCGCGTGCGCTACCGGCTGGCGGAGGGGCGGGTGCGGGGCGCGCCGCTGTCGTCGTACGTGTCGGTGCAGGCGGAGACGGGCGCGCTGTACGCGCTGCGCTCCTTCGACTACGAGCAGCTGCGCGAGCTGCAGCTGTGGGTGCGGGCGGAGGACGGCGGCGCGCCGGCGCTGAGCAGCAACGTGTCGGTGCGGCTGCTGATCGTGGACGAGAACGACAACGCGCCGCAGGTGCTGTACCCGCCGCCGGGCGCGGCGGCGGGCTCGGGCGCGGCGTGGTCGGGCGTGGAGCTGGCGCCGCGCCGGTCGGAGGCCGGCGCGCTGGTGGCCAAGGTGGTGGCGGTGGACGCGGACGCGGGGCAGAACGCGTGGCTGTCCTACGAGCTGGCCAAGGCCACGGAGCCGGGGCTGTTCCGCGTGGGGCTGCACAGCGGCGAGGTGCGCACGGCGCGCTCGCCGCTGGCCCGCGACGCGGCGCGCCAGAGCCTGGTGGTGCTGGTCAAGGACCACGGGCGGCCGGCGCTCTCGGCCACGGCCACGCTCAGCGTGGTGCTGGCCGAGAGCGTGGCCGAGCTGCTGGCCGAGCTGGGCAGCGCGGCCGACGAGGCGGCGGCGCCGGGCGAGCCGGCCGCCGGCCTGACGCGCTGGCTCGTGCTGGCCGTGGCCGCCGTGTCGTGCCTCTTCGTGGCCTTCCTGCTGCTGCTGCTGGCGCTGCGCCTGCGCCGCTGGCACCGCCAGCAGCTGCTGCCGGCCGACAGCGGCGCCTTGCGCGGCGTGCCCGTGTCGCACTTCGTGGGCATCGACGGCGTGCGCGCCTTCCTGCAGTCCTACTCGCACGACGTGTCGCTCACGGCCGACTCGCGCAAGAGCCAGCTGCGCTTCTCGGCCGCCAGCTGCTGCGACACCCTCCCGGCCCGGCCGCCGCCCGACGAGCCCGCGCCGCTGCTCGGGGACGAGGACCCGGCCGCCGCCCTGCCCGCGTCTTCTGCCCCTCCCTCGGTGAGTTTCTGGGGCCAAAATCTTTTTTCCATGCTTTCCTTCATTGTTCCTCTCTCTTTTTTTTTTTTTTCCGTGGTCCATGTGCTGCGTAGGAAAAGCAGAGAATGAAGGATCGGTCCTCTACATCTGCATGATGGGGCCTGCTGATTCTTGCTGCACGGAGGTGGACGTGGGGTCCATGTTCAGCCTTAAATTTGCTGGGCACGGTCGGAGAAGGGAGGTTGCTCTTGGCTGGAGGTTTTTTCTTTGTGTTTTCATAGAGTTGCGTTTTGTTTCTTCTTTTTTACTCCTGACAAGTGTAATTCCTCTCAGCATTCCATATTCTTAATGCATCTGTTGCATCAAATGCAAGTGGAATTTATATTGTTTGGAGGGTCGGGTGTTTCCCCGACAGCAACTGTTCCTGAGCAGATTGACATTCTTTTGAAAGAACACTTAGTCGCCCAGTGTCTAACATCACTTTAAAATTTTCAAATAGTGTACATTCAAAGGTAGCCATGTGCTGAGGTAGGATGCGCAGTTATTGTGATGACTGGGTCCTTTTTGAGCTGAGTATCGTTTATGTTCTTGACAGTATTTTATTTTAGTTAGTAACTCACATTTCCTTTGAGTATCAGTGATCGTTCTCTGACCGTGTGAGATTTTGTGTACCTCTTTTCTTTCAAAGAAGACTGACTGCGGTTGTAGCTTTGCTGTTGCACGATGTTTGGCCAGGGTGAAAAATCTCTTTTGTAGGTACAGGGCAGGTTAAATTTTTGCTGTGATTTTTATTTTTTTTTATTTTTTTTTATTTTTTAATTCTTAAAGGTGTAAAGGTGGTGTAGAAATTCAATTTGTCCTAGTTGTTATATTAGACTCGCAGTTGTGGTTCCTCGCATTTTTCCTATTTCTACTGTATAAAGAAATTACACTGAGGATATGTGGGCATGGCCTTTGATGTGAGCTCCCGTGTGAGTGTTTTTTTGCATGTTTCACTCCCTAGATACCCTTTTCCTGTACCTACTACTGTTGACATAATCTGAAATGTCAGGCTACTGAGCCTTGCAGAGAAATCCAACTCCCCTTCCCGGTAAATGTGGATGGCTTGATGGTGGTGGGTGTTAAAGATGTTTTAGGTGGGTTTTGATTATATGTTATTGCAGCTTATGAGGGTCAGAGGATACTCTGGATGTTGTTCAGGACTGGAGATTAGAGTCCTGTGACTTGAGTGTGGAGGTTTGTTGAAACAGGAGAGACATTGTTTGCTCATTTCCCTGTTCAGTGTTCAGCCCTACTTCTGTGCAATGTGATTTTCTTCTTCCCTGGTAAATTTGTCCTATCACATCTAACTTCAGCTGTGTGGGAAGCCCTGGGAGGTTCCTCCTGTATGTTCGCAGGTTGTTTTGGTTTTCTAATGAATGGTTTAATTAGGTTCTTATGGCAAGTGCCATAAAGGGAATTTTGGGTGAAGCCAACTCTGTATGCATTACCTGCTAAGTACCCGAGCTCCGTGCCTGACCTTAGGACCATCATCATCAAGAGTCTTTGTTGATTCCTTCCTTTTTGCAGAGTTAAACCTCTTCCCTTGCTCGTTTTAATAGAGGTGTTTTCTTGAAGATTTACTGGAAGAAATACTTATGCTTGCCACGTACTCAGGTTGGGAAGTGAAATATTATCCACGGCAATGGGAAGCTGTGTGAGGACCTTTTCTTTTGATGGCGCCTCTCCACCAAAAGGTGGTTGAGGAGCAAAAGGGGTTGAGGAGAGATTTGTTTGTGAGAATGTAATGTTGGAGACACGTGTGGTTTTGATTCGTGTATTTATTAATGATATTCTGAGAATTGTCTAAAGTGTGTCTTCATTTTTTGATATTTCGTCATTTGGACTCAAAGGGCGAGGTTGTGTGTTCACCATTTCTGTTTTCAGTTTCATGATGTTTTCTGGGAATGGTAATTTTTGGGCGCAGATGGAAACCTTGCATTCAGAGTAGGAGAGTCAGCCATCCTCCAGAAAACCCATGTGCTGGACAGTGATGGTGTTACCTTTGAGTGATATTTTGATGACTGGATCACAAATCGAGCTGCTGATGGTAGCTTTTACAACATTCCAGAATTGCTGAAATTATTGTGATGAGCAGAAAAATCGCTGTGCATGGATTTGTGTTATGATTCTTGGGATTTGAAAACATGTGAGAGTGACTTTTAATAGTGCCTGTCCTCAAAATTTGATTTGTATTGTGTGATGACAGAGAAAAGTCTGTCTATCCAGAGACAGGGCCAGTGTAGGAGTTTACTGTGATACGGTTTGAAATGGATAAAAGAAATGTGTAAAGTTCCATTCGTCCTTGTAGTCTGATGAGGCCCTCACCTGTGGTTCCAAGTTATTTTTCTTTTTTCGTGGTCCAAGGAAATTACTGTGGCTGGGGCATGTGGTTTGAGGTCCTGTGTACTTGGAACAAGACAGTTTCCTTTGTTGTGTAGCTACTACAAGTTGCAAAATAAGAAACATACACTTATACATTGTAGTGGTTCTAGGAGCGCAGTCTAAATACCCAGACCCAAGCGTTGGATGTGTCTGAAGACTCAAAATGCAGTTCGAGTAGGCTGAGAGACTGGCTTTGATCCAGGAAATTGGTGTGCCAAAGGGTTTTTTTTGAAAATAATTAGATTTAATCTCTGGGGTCTAGGACTGTGTCATTTTTTTCCTGTGATCCCTTTCCTGAAAATAAATGACAGGCATCCAGCAATAAGGAACCATGTTGCTTGGATAGAACCGTTTATGTTTCCGATGTGAAACATATTTTATTTGATTCTATGAAAGACTCAGAAATGCCTTTGCACTTATTCACTGTAAGGTTCTCAGGCATGGAGACACAAAAGAAGACATTTCATTATTCAGAAAAAAAAATAATAAGCGTTATTCATTCTTATAATAAAGCTCTAAGCTTTGCTTTAGGCTGATTTGTTTCTCAAGTTAATGTGACCCAGGTAAGGGAAGCAGAATTCAAGATGCGTGACGGAGAGTTGAAAGGTTCCCAACTTCATCCCTTTCTATAATATCATTCCTTGCTCTTGTAGTTTAACTACGAATTTTTTAAGACCAACTTACTTCCTTTCCATGTTGCTCTGACACGAATACTTGCATCTGAGATTTCAGTGGGACTAAAGGACATGAACTGAAAGCACCCAAAAGCGCATGTGACTTAATAACGCCACTCGAGTCACACCGAGCCAGTGCTTCTTGCGCTGAGCAAAGCTGCTCTGGAACTGGAGATTGGTGAATGGACGCTTCCCGGTGCTCGCTTTCCACTGGAGAGGGCACAGGACGCTGACGTGGGAACGAATGCGCTGTTGACGTACCATCTCACGAGCGACCCGTCGTTCTCTCTCGCCTTAAAGGAGACCCTCGACGGAAGCAAGCAGCCGGAATTGGTGCTGGAGAGAGCCTTGGACCGGGAGAAGCAGAGCTGCTTTGAATTGGTACTGACAGCAGTGGATGGCGGGGATCCCGCGAGATCCGGGACTGTTCAGGTTCGCATCAATGTGACGGACTTAAACGACAACCCACCTGTGTTCAGCAAAGGAGTCTACGAGGCGCGAGTGGCGGAGAATTTGCCAGCGGGGTCTCTCGTGCTGAGGGTACGGGCGACAGATGCAGACGCGGGCACCAACGGGCGGGTCTCCTACTCCCTCAGCAACGTCCACGGCACCATCAGCGCATTGTTCACTGTCGACAGCGACAGCGGGGAGGTCAGGACGGCGGGTCCCCTCGATTTCGAGGAGAAGAGTAAATACATATTTGGCCTGGAGGCGAGGGATGGGGGGGGTTTGGTATCACACTGCAAGGTGCAAATAGATATCATAGACGAGAACGACAACGCGCCCGAGAT